CCCCAAAACCCCAAAACCCCAAAACCCCAAAACCCCAAAACCCCTTTTGCAGCCAAATTATAGAAATTAGGAATAGTTCTTGATCGTATTCTTGATGCAGGTGTGCCCTTTCTTGTAGAGCCAGCTACAGAAATTCAGGGTCAAGTCGATAGCATCACCTCTGTCCATGAAGTCCTCTCTTTGTTCGAGGAAGATTGTCACAAATTCATTGCAAACTTCAGGCATTGACTCTGCTGAGTTGACTTTGCAGAAGTCCTCCTTTCCATCTCTAGATTTCTTAGCTATATCAGCTATGATAATCATTTGCTGTTGTTGTAAGGCATTTTTATGAGTTGATGGAATACTAGAGACAGGTATATCCACCTTAATCTTTTCATTGGCCAATAACTTATTGCTTTCAACGATCTTCTGCCATCCATATTCATTGCAACATTCACGATAGAGGATCATAAACTTCAACAATGTCTTATAAAACTTGGCATTTACTTTCTGAGAAATCTCCCTGAGATAGATCCCTCAAACCTCATCACAACTAAGCTCTTGCTTTTGATTAAAAGTGAGTTTCTGATAATCTTCTAGGACTTGGTCATATCTTTTCTTTCTGAATAAATTTTCTTCATTTTGAGGTTCTTCTTTGATCTTTTCTCCCTCATCCTCATTCGGTGTTGTATTTTCCCTCCTTTCTGATTTCACTTCAATGTTATCTTCCATGCTGGCATCATGGATGGCCTCATCCTTTGGTTTGGGTTCTGACTTTGCTTGCTTTTCTTGTTCATCCATCTCGATATCCTTTGAAGCATCATTTTCAGGCCTCTCTTCGGCTTGTTCTTCTTTAACTTCCTTTGGAACCTCTCCCTCTTTGTTAGAAAATAAAGACTTTTTGGAGAGAATTTCGTAGAATGGGTGATCTTTCACATCAGTATAAGATTTAAAGCTAAATTGCTTGAAATCTGCCTTGAAATTAGAGTTCTTGCTAGAGTCATAGAGGTCTTTATTCTGGCTCTTAGCCTGACTCTCAGATTTTGACTCCTCAACTTCTTCCTTCACATCAGAGTGCTCACCTTCTTTGGAAAGATGATTATGGTCATTTAGTATCTTTTGCTGTTCTTCTGTGTTTTCCTGAGACTTTGAATTTTTATCATTTGCTGTAACTTCCTCCTTTACATCAGAGTTTTGAGCTGAATTGGCTGCTTTCTTCTCTTCAGGAGCAGCAGGGGACTCCTGTTTTACCTCAATCTCCTTTTTAATATTGGAGTTTTTGTTTATGAAGAACTTCTGAACTATTTCATTGAAGAAGTAGAGTGGGTCAGTAGGTCCACCACCCTTATCAAGAGTTTTGAAGTAATCATCACTCTCTGGAGCAATTGTGGTAACTCTTCCAGCATTCTTTTTAGGTCTTCCTCTACCTCTACCTGAGTTTAGTAGAAGCTGATTATTATCAGTACCTGACTGATGCTTTGTTTTCATGTGTGTGTAGAGGGCAGGGTATGAAAGGTAAGTCTTAGGGCAGAAGGTTCATTTATAATCCCTCCCATCGAGATCATTCTTAGACCTTCTCTTGGATCTCTTCTTTCCATTTTCATCATGTGAATCATCTCCAGATTCCCCATCATGCTTATGTTTATCCCCATTAGTTCCATTGTCGCCCCTGCTGTAGCTTCTTCTCCTATAAGGATCATTATGTAACAAGTAATCAGACACATTCATCATTTTGGCCTTTGAAATAGCCATAAAGCTTAATATTTAGGCTTTTGGAGCTAATTATTCGAGTTTTATACTATCTATTTCTTATTTATACAACAACTATTTACAGAATGTTTTAAAGCACACGGGAATTCTTAAGTGCCTGAAATTTATAAAGCAACTAGAGATTTGAAAATTTTAGGAAATTTTGTGAAAGAAATGAGTCAAAAGTAAATGCTCTTACTCCTTTTTCTCTTCTAATTTCTTTAGTGCCTAAAAATTTGAATTATTTGGGGTCAAGTGTAAGAGAATCTTACCTTTAACTCTCGTTTTCGAAGTTTTTCTTCTTCCTTTTTCTTGCGACGCTCTTCACGTTTTTTCTCCCTTAGTTCCTGCTTCTCCTTTCTGCGTAATTCCTTCTCTCGGATCTTTTCTTCTTTGGATTTCTTAGGCTTTTTGGGAACTTTTGGCTTGGACTTTTTCCTAAAATCTCCTTTAGTAATGACCTTTTTCAGACCAGATTTAGGCGCAGTTGGAGGAAAAGAACCACCAGAATCTGCAGGAGGTGCGGGAGTGATAGTATCCTCTTTCTTCTCCTCTTCATCAGACTTTGAAGGCTTAGAAGATTCTTTCTTATCGTCTTCCTTCTCCTCGATAGTACAAGTTACTTTTGGCTTTTCCTCATCTTTGTCTTTATCTTTGTCCTTTTTGTTTTTACTTTTATGCTTTTTCTCTTTCTTCTCCTTCTTTTCCTTCTTCTCTTTCTTTTTGGATTTGTCCTTATGCTTCTTGTGCTTGCCATGCTTTGATTTTGAAGTAGATGATTTCTCTTCATGACTGTCCTTCTTACCCAGAGACACTTTTTCTTCCTCCTTTATACTCTTAGAAGCAGGTTTAGTGGAGGAATCAGGGGAAGGTCCCTCACCTTTCTTTGGCTTATTTTTAGTAGTTTTCTTCTTAGCAATAGTTTTCCTTTGAGAGCTTGTATTACTCGACTTAGGGTCACTTTTCAAAATTTCTTGCACTGTTTCCCGGTATTTCTCTGCTGGTTTTTCTTTTGCTTTCTCTTGACTGGTATTCTCCTGTACCGTAGCAGGCGTGACTTCAGATTCGATCTCCATTACCACATCTGGGTTCCTCCTATTGATCTTCTTAAGTTGTTTTTCTTTGCTGCCTTTATATCTTTTCTTGCTCTTTGTTTCCATTTTTATAATAAATTATAACCCATTATTTATGGGGTTTTGGGGTTTTGGGGTTTTGGGGTTTTGGGG